GTTTTTGTTTTTCCCTTTTTGCTAGAAAGGCTTCACATTTATCAAAATGACTGCGGTTTTGCATTATTGCCCCCATTTTGAACCAAAATTTTGCTGACAGAGCCTCTTTAAACAAATGACACACAGGGCAGGAGGGATTGAGATTTCCACACGGACTTGCTTTGTTTCATCCTGGGTCAGAAGAAAAGCAGCAGATACACAGCTTTGTCTGGTAAGAACCTCTCGCTATTACAAGCGCAGCCAAATTGCTGCGTAGGACTGGTCGTCGTGGCAACCAGCAAAGCTGGACAAGAAAACACAAAAAAAAAAAAACGCACAAAGGCTTAGCACAGAGAATTAACCTGCAGGAAATTATACAAATGCAAGGAACACGGTTAACCCTTCCTCTGCCAAGGCCTTGGATGACACACCAGCGGGCTTGGCTCAGGGATGGGAGAACGGCGCTGGAATTCTTTGCCTGCGTCATAACAGTAAAACGCAGCAGAGGAAACAGGATATGTCGCAACAATCCGAACACCGATACGTCCTTTTCTACAGCACTGAATGAGGAGGTTTCTTTATCTCTCACCACCATGGACATTTTTAAAGGAAACTCCCACTTTCATTTAAAAAAAATATATCATGTAACAGAGCAGCTTCAAAAACCATTTTGAAAATTCAAAAAAAACACACACACAAAAAAAAAAAAAAAAAAACTTAGTCCCAAAAAAATTCTGTTGGGGAATTAAAAAAAAAAAAAAAAAAAAAAGCGGTTAGGAAACTTTTCAGGTGGCACGGCATGCGATTAACTCAGGAAAAACTTAAGGCAGTTTCATTGGGAGATCTGACCGGTGCACCAGAATCAGGAGGTTCCATTTCTGCCACTTTGAGGACCTGTCATTATGGCTGCCACAGATTAGGGCCTCATTCACATGGGCCATACTACAGAGTACGGTCAAGTGAGGTTGTGTTTGCCCACACAGGGATGCACAGGTATTCCATGCATCCCTGTGCAGGCAGTCCCACTGATGTCAAGTGGAAAGCAGCCGCTGTACAGACATAATAGGTGTTCCCAAATCTGACAACCCATGCAGATACACGACCCCGAGCGTAGACAGTGTGACTTTGGAGACACGTACCGACACAGATGTCAAACTGGGAGCAGCAACTGTGTACGTGCAGCCGCTGCGTCCCAAAAGACATCTATGGGACTGCCTGCACAGGGGGTGCACAAACAACTGTGCATCCCCAAGTAACCTCATACGGGCTTTAGTATGGCCCATTTGAAAAAGGCATTAAAGGGAATTATGGCCAGTTTGCAGACCAGCTCTGAGTTGGCAAACAGAGAGATGCCAGGGATCAGAGTGGGACATATACAGTACGTTGTTGGAAGCGGTCATAAATGTGATACACATAGGGCTCCTTGGTTGCTATGAACCCAGCAGCCACCAGCATCCTAGCAACCAGAAACTCATCCCATGCACCACTTAACTGCCAATCGACAGCTGAATTTAAGCAAACAAGCGAGGATGCTGGTAATGACATCAATGGGACTTCCAAAACTGGGGTGCAAGAACACCTGTGCATCCCCCAGCAGTTCACCATGGACTCACAGGTGTACGATATAGTACGCCCTGTGTGACCGAGGCCTTAAAAGAGGTTTACAGCCAGTTTTTCAGATAACCAAACTAGAAGGCCAACACAGAGTTGATATACAAGACACGCCAATGCTCAGAGTAGGACATGTATGTGCTGGAAAGCTGTGATAAATGTGACATACACAAGGCTGCATCCCAGCAACCAGAGACTCATTCCATGCCCCATTCAACTGCGAATCAACAGCTGAATGTAAACAAAAAGGTGGGAATGCTGGTGATGGCATTACCCAAATATGGCACAATTCCACAATGACAGACAGCTGAAAGGCTCTGGTAACGAGTCACTGGTTGCTAGGATGCCTGCAGCCATCGGCTCCATAGCAGCCAAGCAGTCCTGTGTGTGTCACATTTATGGCAGCTTCCCAGCACCTACATGTTCCACTCTGAGCAATGGAGTCTCTATATGGCTTGGGGTGGGAATACGCCCTAAGCCTGTACTGAGGATGGAGTGTCCATGTGGAAGCATGACAGAATTCTACAACATTTTGTATGAATTCCAGGGTGTGAGTTGTCAGCCCACAACTGGATATAGGAGCCAAGTACATTTCTGTCAGATTAAGGGCACTTTCACGTGGAGCCCAACTGCTCCACTGAGCATGGTATCCGCGAGCAGATCCCCTGCTAAATCAGATCTGAACGGGGCAGTGTTTTGGGTTTTTTCTACATCCGTGCCTGTTTAAATTTCTGTCTGGCAGACACAGGCAAATGCACGATAGCTCTATGGGTAGCCAGACTTGTGTCTGTTTACATCAGGCTACCTCCGTTCCATAGTATTTAGGTCCGGAAAAATGAAAAATGGTGCAGTCCGTTCAGTTTTTTTTATTTTTGGACCTGGACAGACTTGGAGGTAGGCTGTTGTCAGGGGGGCGGACTGACCATTCGAAAACTCGGGCACTGCCTGAGGGCTCGGGGTCAGTAAGGGGCGTCATGAGATGCCCCTGGTAGCTTTTTCATAGGCTTTTTTGAGTTTGGGTAAGGACACAGGGGCCCCATGATCCCCTATTGTCCGGGGGCCCCATGAGTTGTCAGTCCACCCCTGGCTGTTGTAAATGGACACATCCGCCTAAATTCACCTGTCCATAGAGCTGCATAGAGCTTCCCATAAGGTCCATCTGAAAAACTGGCAGAGGGACCTGATCGGGAAGCCCACGTGAAAGGGCCCCAACATCTCTGCACTTGCAGGTTTGAAGGGAAACATGAGGAAATGGGCATGTATTGCAGAGATTCACTGCATATATTTTTTTATTTAGCCTTTACATACTCTTTAAACAGGAACTTTCCTGGCTATCCATTTAAGCCAGCAACCAGAAGTATGGTAGCTGCTGATGTTTTAAAAAAAAAAAAAAATCACGTACCAGCCCATGAAGTCCTGCGCTGTCTTCCTTGCACCCAAAGTCTTTGCAGCATTTCTTTTCTTCTACAATGACATCATGAATTCAGCACCTGGTGTGAACATTTGAAGGACTCAGAGGTCACACTGAAGTTGGACCCGTAAGTTAACCCCACTCCCCCTCCATTTTAAGAAAGATGAGAAGTGAGGGAGGAAAATCCAGGCAAGGTTGACAACACCTCTTAGTGGGGCTCTGCCTCTGCTGTACTGCAGTCCTAACGAAGCACTGGGGGCTCATGAAGTATTATAGCAGGTCAACCAGTATTTTTTCAACATATTATACTATTGGGTGTAGCTACAAATGTTGATTTGATTCTACAATCATAGCAATGGGGATGGTATGCTGCTCTTGGAGATTTTAATGGTATGTTTTTCATCCATAATCAAAAAACAGCGGATATGTCCTTCCATCTAGGGCAAGGTCATGGATCTTGGCCCTAAAACCAGATTAACCACTAAAATTTCCCATGCCAAGTTACACCTCCTATCTGCTCCCTGAGCACACCCCCCCCTCGCCCATAAACAATAGCAGTATGCCATTTAGTTCTTTCTTCTAGATCCCTTGTGTGGATCCCTTCATCCAGATTCCTCGCCTAGGGAAGGGGGACATATGGTTGGCCTCCTCCTGTCCCATGGGCAATTCTCAGCACAGGAGGCTGTGCCAAGGTATCAGATTGTTTCGCTCCTACACACCATTCAATATCTGCAGCAAGGCTGCGCATGATTAAGGGAACTGTATCCGGTGGCCGCCTGTAAAAATGAGAGACAGCCGCCTACCAGTTACAGAAGACTCAAGATGGCGGTGCAGGCTGAAATGCACAGTAGAAGCGTGTGACAACACAGGATTCCCTAGGCTTGTTTATGGTAGATAAACACATCAAAAAGGTACATGAGATATTGAAATAATTTTTCTGGGCTTGGTTAAAGTCCTCTGAAAAGTGATCAGATTTAGGCACATTTCCCTTTCTACTCATTTTGCAGATCCAACCAATAAATGTATTTGGCATCTCAATTCAGAAGGTGGCGGTATCATGTAAAAAAAACACATGCAACACAGTACCGTAGCATAAAAAAATAAAAAACATGTTATATGCTACAATGCGTACACCGCCTTTGATCGAGCGATGATTACTAATATGATAAAAGTTACTCTAGTTACTATGGAGACGGTCACAGTGCCCACGGTATAACTTTCAAGAGCAAGTCATTAAAAGCTGTCACCATTGGAAAGATTTAAGGGATAATTGCGTGTTCATCTCAAAGTGCAATACTGCAAATGTTCAAGTGTGTACTGCAATAAGAAAGTGTGACGGGCAAAGAGGCCTTGTGTGAACGACTTTTACTGACTGGAACCACTCTGGTACAAATGCCGGTGGCTTCTTCATCCCTCTTCCGATTATCCATCACTCCTGACATATGAACAAACCCTCAACACCCTCCTGTAGAGAGTCAAAGGGCCCAAGCACATAGATGTCATTTGGAACACAGGTCAGTAGGTTCCCATCAACTTGAGTAGTAACCTAAATAGAATTCTGAAACGAATTCCAGGTATGTATATTGCATACATGGTTACATTGGCCCCAGCTTGAACCAACGCAACTATGCATTCATCATACCTGGCCGATGCTCCTGGAAGCTGGAAATAATTAAAGAACCTCATGCCAGAGTACTAGGTGTAATCCTAGACTCCCATCTGTCCTTTCAGCCCCAAATCCAATCACTGTCCAAATCTTGTAGACTTCACCTCCGCAACATCTCCAAGATACGCCCGTTCCTAACCTCTGAAACCACTAAGCAGCTTATTCACTCCCTGGTTATCTCTCGCCTTGACTATTGTAACTCCCTCCTCATTGGTCTACCTCATCGCAGGCTATCCCCTCTTCAGTCTATCATGAATGCTGCTGCCAGACTAATCCACCTTACTAACTGTTACATATCTGCCACCCCTCTCTGCCAATCCCTCCACTGGCCTCCACTCAGTGTCCTCTATCCCTCTCTGCCAATCCCTCCACTGGCTTCCCATTGCCCAACAGATAAAATTCAAACCACTAACAACATATAAAGCCATTTATAACTCTGCCCCAAATTACATCACCGATCTGGTCTATAAATACCACCCAAACCGTACTCTCCGCTCATCGCAAGACCTCCTACTCTCTAGCTCCCTTGTCTCCTCCTCCCATGCTCGTCTCCAGGACTTCTCCAGAGCTTCCCTATCCTCTGGAAATCTCTACCCCAAATTTATCAGGACTATCGCCTACTCTGCTCACTTTTAGGCGATCTCTGAAAACCTATCTATTCAGGGAAGCCTATCCTGCCCTCAGCTAATACTGGAATCTTCTACTCTTCCAACCAGTCCATCCCCCCACAGTTACTACCTTTTGTACCACTAGCCCCTCCCTCCTAGATTGTAAGCTCCAAGGAGCAGGGCCCTCAAATCCCTCTTGTATTGAACTGTATTGTTGCTGTATTGTCTCCCGTTATATTGTAAAGCGCTGAGCAAACTGTTGGCGCTATATAAATCCTGAATAATAATAATAAAAGTAGACACTGCTTCTTCAGTGATCTCAACTTGCAACCAGGTCTTATGTCAAGCGGCTGGTTTGATTCATTTTGAACACAGGATGGTTGGCCGCTCTGCCCCAACGCCTTTCAATGACAACCTCCTGGGACAAGTCATAAGCCCCCCCAGACCATGAGGGACCATTCACACTTGTGCATTTGGGAATCCAGCTGTGAAGCTGTAAGGAGTCATAGCCGGTTTCCCTTAGTAAACATGCCGGCTCTGGGGACCAGAAGACCGATGAAGAACCAGCCTGGGTGAGGTCCTTTCACTAAATGTCAGCTACAGTATCTGTAGCTGAAGACTTTTAATTTTTTCCCCAACACAGTGAAGAACCTCTTTAATAATGGAAAAAAAAAAAAAAAGGATTTCACTTTAGATACACTTTAATAGCCTTCAGTGAATAATAACTGTAATAAACCAGTCTTTTTTTTTTTTAGCTTGGGTTTTCATAAATCACTGACACCATAACTCCATCTGCAACCAAATAGCCTACAATGGTGCCAGAAACACGCTCGTATTTCTCTTCTATAAAGTCTAATTAGGAAGATAAACAACCAGAAAAAGAGCAGAAGTAGCTTTTCAGTACAGACACTATTGGCACAAGGTGGAAACGCTTCCACGGGTTAACACGACCCAGTTGTAGAAGAACAAAGACCACCTTTTCCTGAATTATTCTAATTAGAACCCATGTGTGAAAATAATTAGCTGTAAGCCCCGGAGGTAAGGCAGAATATAGGGCACTGTGACAAGGAAAATTGAGGATTCTTTTGGTGTTAGTTAAAATGAACTTGTCTTGGCTGAAATACAGGAGGTGTTGCTGCTGATGTGTTTTTAAAGGTGTAATCTCCGAGATAGTCATCCTCAGCCTTCATTCATGACTTGGCCAATTATGAACCTGGAAAATTATAGTTTTCTATGTCAAAAGAATAACTTGCCGAAGAGGTCAAGTCATGTGTTCGACCATCTATGGATTCCTATTGTAGTAACTTGACCTGCAAAATGATACAAATTCCTAAGGTCACAACACCACGTCATTGTATCACTGAGAAGCTGAAATGGATGGAAGACACCTCCGGAACACTGGCGTTGGATATGGGGGACAGAATCAATAACCCACCCCCAAAGAAAATCTAGTTTTTATCCATAATAAACTGCCACAAAACTTCACACAACTTGCACTGTATATCAACTAACTGCCATCATTTTTTTTTTTTTTTTTTTTAATTTATGGCACTTAAAGGCTCGTTTACACATGCAGCATCCCTTTCGGTGGATCACTTTTCAGGTGCCTGGAAGAAGAGATGCTTCCTCCTCACGACCTGTTTTAACCCTGTAAGTACACGCGACCAACTGAAGATAAAGAATAAGTAAATTCAACATTTCATATTCCTGAGATGTGCCTGTTGTACCATGTACTTGAATGAAAAAAGTATCCTGTTCTCTTTGTATTGCTTCCTTTGTGTGAAATCCCTGGTGTTCCTGCCAGTCTCTTTGCTTTCCTATTAAAAACTGACCACACTAGGCATGAGAGCACAGTGTGGTCAGTTCTCTAGTTGTGCTGAGAACTCAGCCTGCTCTCCTCCAATGTCCATGCTTGTGTTGACACACACCACAGTGCCATTCACTAGGAAGACCAGTGTACTGTTTCTCATACCCCAGCTCTCTTTTAAGTTGAATTGGGTGTTTTACAAGGTGAGGGTTTACATATACTTTAACATTCTGTATATGTGGCTATTAAAAGTATCGACTGTATAGCATGTACTCTACTTGTGATTTAGGCAGGTAGGTGGAACAAAGACAGCTATAGTTTTGGATGCCCCCAACCTTGCATGAAGCAAAGCTCATGGGCATAAAAAAAAAACTCCCTTAAATTTATTTTTTGAATGCACCATGTTCCTCTGCAAACACAGATATAACCTTGTAAAAGTAGTCATGACATCATCATTGTGCTGTACATTGTGCAAAGAGCAGAACTGTGGGAGGGAATGGAGACAAGACCAGTCACCCTGCACAAGGAGAGAGAGCAGCAAGGATTGGTCTTTATTACAGGAAGCTCCTGCACAGAGGAGAAGCCTTACACTGGATTCCAGCATAGATCTGGAATAAAACACACCAAGAATCCAAGGAAG